CGAATGGCTATATCGGTGGATTAGTTGGTTCGCCCATTTGGTCCAGACTGAAGTCAAAAACTAACAGATGGATGGCTATGAAATTTGGTAGAGACAAAGTGCCCAGAGGATGACTTTGGTGATTCCCTCTCTCTAGCACAAACAGCAGGTCAAGGTTTTCACTTATCCAGTGAATTATCTACTGAATCTACATCTAAGAATGCATTAGCAAAGAAACTGCACTGACATTCTTGCTTCCCAGATGATGAATCCTAATAACATTTCTGATCCCCTTTTAGTATTACATTCAAATAAAAGATCTCTAAGGATAAAAAAACAATAATAATATATCTGTCAGAGAAGAAGGTTGTGGTAGCTACCTTCCTCACTGTGTGTATCATAAAGCCCACAGTTAGCAGCATCTTCACACACTGTGGTTCATACTATCATACTACTCTAGCCAAATATCTGTCTCGTCATGCTGTGAGTGACTGGTCGACAGCATCTCCCATCAGTGAGGAGGCTCCTGTCAGTCAAGGAGAGGATGCTGATCTCCTGTCAAAGAGGAGACATCAACTCATGCTGCCAGTGAACTCTCATCAGTGTAACAATCATCCTGAGGGAAAGTGTGCTAATGAAGTTACACGTGTTCCCCTGCTGTGAGGAACTAAGGGGTGTACACAACAACTCGGTGCAGTTCAGCAGAATGCAATCAATACCTTAAACAGTTTGTAAATGTGTTCACATTTTACCAAAAATAATCCACCTTAACTAGAATGATATACTCCCAACTGCTTATGTAGAGTGACATAGCTGCTCTGATTGGCCCGAGGCTGTCGCTGTGAGTCAGGATGGACCGGCTGACACATGATGTCTGCCACTCTCAGCTCTACTGGGATTCTTAAATCCAATATGGGGACTAGAAGAGGGAGAGAGGTATAAACTGGGCCACTATCTACTCTGATGGTGTGATTTTCAGTGCTGCTTGTAATACCCAGGGACCAAGATCAATAATGTTAAGTAAGATAATATAAATCAGTCTAAGGGACATATTGCTGTAGGCCAGTTCAGCTGTCACCCCAGATATTATTTGCATATTTTAATTCATCTGACTGGGTCTTTACCAAGAGAAGGAGGAGTAAAATTCATCATACCTGCCAAAAAACAAAAAAAAATCAGCTTGCTCTTATGTGATTTGTTTCCTGCACCTGCACTGAAAATTACTCAATTAAAGAAGAACTTAAACTGGCCTTTCTCTTTCTAAATTACACTGCTATTAGGTTTGATGGCCGGCAGCCCGGGAGTCTGATAGGGATGAAAATGCTGGCCATGAGCCAGCACCTTGACCTCCCTGAGACACGAGGATGACTCTACAAAAGACAGAGAATAAAAGTATTCAGAGGTACCGGCCACTGTGGGCCTCCTGTGTGGACTACACTGCAGGGAGCTTCACACTGTGCCTGTCCTCACATCACTGCGGTCCAATGAAGCAGAAAGGTGTCTGAAACCACTGCACTGTCAAGGCGCAGCCAACTGGGGGAAAAAGGAAAGGAGTCTGAGCTCACAGGGATTTGTGCCAACACAGTAATAGCGCTGCACATGAGGCTGTTTTCATGTAGCTTTGAACCCGTACGGACTTTTTATTGGTGCAAGCAGTTTGGGGGCAATAAGTAGGACACCATGTTGATAAAATTAAAAGCAAAGATATAGGAGAGAATTCAACCAGCAATGAGGAGGCAACACAAAGAAAGCCAAGATGTGGTGAATAATGCATGCAGTTCTCAGAAAAAGCAGTTTCATCTGGCATGAGGGCAAAATTATGGTTGTAGCTAAGATGCAGCAGTGTTGTTAGGATAAGAGGAAGACTACATGTTGTGTGAGCACTTTCCACTCTGCATGCAGGTAAGAGGGCATCTGAGCTCCAAATGTGGAAACAACTTTCATTCTGAGATGTTGCTGTGCTCGTCTACTAACAGGTCTTCTTCTTCTTCTTGTGTCTTAACTTCATCGTCTCACAAAACCTTTCACCTTCTTCTGTGTAAAAACTATATAAAGTCAGCACAAACTTGACTGAAGCTCAGTACATCAAAACACAACAGCAGTCTAACTGTCACTTACATATCTGTTAGATTTCTTTTTGCTTGTGTGTCCACTCGGACAACTAAACGATTCATTGCAGCCCAATCAAACAGAATTAGCATGAGGCAGATGGCGCACGCCGCACAACACTTTCATGAGGCCTTTCATAATAAAATCAGTGGACACAGAGGGCAGAATGGAAACAGATAATCCCTTTAGTGACGTGTGTTAAGAGGAACAGAATAGTATATATTTAAGAAGCTGTATTTTTAGTTGTACTAATGTACTTCTACACTAGATACTTCCGTACACAACTGTATAAAATACATCTGATGGGGTCATGAAATAATTAACAACAAAAAACAAATTCTAAGATAAAAACATATATCTGCTGTAAGCTTTTTGTGTGAAATACTGTGTAGTTTTCCCCTTTCTGGCCTTTAAGAAGTATTCAAATAAAACAACACTGAAAGTGAAAAGGACTCAGCTTGACTTGTGCCCAGCTCACACACATATTCAATCTGCGACAATGGGTTGCGAGTAGATGAGTAAAAGGTCATAAGCTAAAAACTTTGGGAACCACAAACACTACAATGCAATAAATTGTACGTATCTGCAGTATAATACAGCTGTTTCAGGAATCAAATTTTTCTGCTGTATATATTTTGAAACATTCTCAGATTTCTAAAACTTTCACGCTTTTATTTTGAAGACTAGATTCACTCAGCTGTAAACCGTGATGCAATATGATACAACTCTTCAGCACTACCACACCCTTCTCTTCTTTTACCTTGCCTTTATACTATGATGACCTACAGATAAAATAACCCGGTCACACATCTCACACTGTGAAAAGTGCACCCACACAGACTAACACGAGGCCAGCACACTGTATGTTTACAAAATCTGCATGCAATTCAGTACTTCTAGACTGCATAAGTTTGAGTTTTCGAGTGTATTTTTTGTACCATACATACATTTGCACACGAATCCTAAGAGGGTCACAAAAACATGAAACCAGACAGACACATGTCAGATCAGCAGCTCTCCAAAACCGCTCATTCAGTAAAGATGCTTCCAGCACTGTGCCTGTCTGTCAGCGGAATATTAAGCAGGACCCTGCAACCATTTACCAGTAATATACTATTACCAGCACAGTATTAGGCCCGGAGATAGATTCAAACAAAGTGCATTATTTATAGAATGGTGCTCTTGTGCAAAGAGGGGATGAAGAACATCAACAACAATCTGGATCTTCTCAAATAACCACATGAACCAAACAGGCCAAACAAATCCCAACAGATGAAATCCAGCAACAGAGTTTATTTAGAAACATATGTCGGGAAGCATGAATATTCCTGCTCATGAAAATGACTGATGTGTTTCTGTTATTAGCTTGTTGTTAATTCCACTCAGACACTTCTCTCCTTCAGGTGGTAATGAGGAGTATTAAAAAAATTTGATGTGGTAAAATCAATATATGGAATGCAACTACTCTAAAGGCACCTTCGTTTTGATATCTGCTCTGGGCTCTCTTCATTACCCGTCATAACACTGGGTGAAGAATCACTTTGCATTTATGGCTGAGTGGAGGCATCAAAGCACTGACTATGTTCTCGCGGCACAACTCCACGAGGAGAGATACCAGGCCAGATGAGGGAGGATGCATCTGACACTTTCATTCTGGAGGCAAGTCAGTCTCCTCTTTTTTTTCCTATAGGGAAAAATATGTATTCTGACCATGTACATTACATAAACAGATATCGCTGCATACATTTGCAACACTCCATGGTTGTGTGCAATATTTCTGTGCCCCTAAAAATTTTGATAGATTCCATTTTCAATAATTCAGTGATAAGTGTGAGCTCTGAGAGCATCTGTGATAGTGTCTCGGCCTGTCAAGCTCAACCTCACTAACATCGTGCACCTACATTAAGAATATATTTCAGCTAGAATCTTTGTTATTGGCGACACACCTGATCAGTCAAATACAAACCCAAATCAGAAAAAGTTGGAACAAAATCAAAATTAAAACTGAAAACTGTGATTTGTAAATCACTTGGCGTCCTCAGTCCCTAAATGTCTTTGAAGCATTATGAAAAGGAACAACTGCATCACACCGTGGCACATGCTTTACTGTCCCAACTTTTTTGGAATGTGTTGGAGGCATCAGAATTGAAGTGAGTGTTGTTTCTGAACAAAGAACAACAAAACGTTAATGAGGTGTCACATCAAATAATGTGCTGCTGTGTTGTTTTCAATGTAGTACAAGACGCACATGATTTACACATCACTACTTTCAGTTTTAATTTTGATTTTACATACCATCCCAACTTTTTCTGATTTGGGGTTGTAGCTAAAAATATAAACAAATGTTCATTGCTAACAAAATGTTACACCTGATAAGAAAACAATCCCACAAAAAGCCTGCTTCTGATTTATCTTCCTGCATTCAGGTCCCTATAAAGTGCCCCTTTTACCTCAAGTTCATCCTGAAATCTGTCTGATAAAGACAGTTAAGTTTTCCAGTTTTGTAGGTCTCTGTTCAAAATACAACACTACATAAGCTAATGCATCCAACGCGCTGCTCAGAAACCTGCTGCAATGACAGGAACATCAACCATGATCAGAATCACTATGTGTCTATAAAAGATGAAAAACAAAATCCTTGAGGAGGTCATATAAACACATACACCATTTTGATCTTTCACCCCTCAAAACTCTATGCTTTGTCACAGCAGCAGCCCAGAAACATCTCTGGCTCTGCTATTGTAATCTTATAATACCTTAAAAACAGGTTTGTTGCACCTCTTAACATGAGCTACATTAAAATGGCAATAAGACAGAGGAGGGGATCGGGGAGACATGCTGAGGGTGGAGATCGGTTCTACTGACATGTGAGACATGCAGCTGGTTCAGTGATGTGTCAGAAAGCTACTCACTGGCTTGCATGAGCTGTCCCTGGCGTCCGAACACCTGGGAGAAGGTGGCGTGGCTGCAGGTGAGGGAGTCCTCCATGGTTATCCCACGCTGAAGACAGAAAGAGAGAGAGAGGAGGGGGGTGAGGGAAGGGCAGGAACACTGCGTCACATCAAGGCAGGGAAAAAAGAAGAGAGGAAAAGAGTGAAAAAGAAGAGGAAGAAGAAGGAGGCTCACCTTTAGTTGTAGAAACTGGTGTGTGTGATCTCTGGTGATGAGCGCTCTCCTCTGGACCTGTCCTGCTGCTGCTGCTGCCGCTGCCGCCGCTGAGGTTGAGCGAGGCACAGCCCTCACTGCTCACACCAATATGAGCAGAACTGCTCGCCGCACAGATAATGGGAGGGGGCGCGCCTGCCTGCCTGCCTGCTTGTCAGGATGCAAGTCTATGTGCGTGTGTGAAAGTTCTCTGAATGTGTGCCTCTGAAAGCATTTTGGAGTGCATGTGTAAGGCAGAGTGATACAGGGGGGTAAAGCAGGTAGCAGAGCTGTAGGCACACTTGCTCTGCCGGCACAGATCTTGTGCTTCGTTTGTACAGGCTGACAGTCCTCTGCAGCTCCAGACAGCCTGGGTAGAAGGAAAGACCAAAGAGAGGAAGAGAGGGGGGAATGTGACATCTATGCAAAAGTCAGTCCTCCCTCCTCCCCTCTCTCTGGGTGTGCGTAGATGGCGGCATCTGTCCTCTGGGCACAAGACGGGACTGTTTTCTTTTCTGTGTGAGTTTGCGCCTTTATTTCTCCTCCCTGTCCCTCCTCCCCTTTCTACAACCCTCATTTGCTGTGCCATAGCACTAACATCTCTCTCGTATTCTCCTGTTCTCCCTTACATCTCTTACTCTCTTAACCCCACCCCACGCAAATCCCCTCAATCTATCTTAAAGCTCGGGCTGCTGCTGCTGCTGCGAAACATAATTTAGCAAACTTGAGTGCTTCATCTTCCCCCAGTGCTGAGGAAAAAAGGAGGATAAGAAGTGGAGGGGCTGTGTAGAAAGTGAAAAGTAGGGCTGCTATGGCTGCTGCTTTCCAGAGGCTTCATCTTGAAAAGGAACTGTAGAAAACTGCTGAGTATAAAATACAAATTAGCTCACACTCAACTGAAAAATAAGTCCTATAAACTCTGTGTGCCACGCTGTGTAGCGCAACAGCTCAGGTGAAGCATACAGAAAACTGAGCTTTACTAGCATGCATAAAAATCACCTGCCTCACTTTACAGCAAAAAGGTACATGAAGGAGTTGTAATAAAAAAATATTAACAGATCAAATGAGCACATGGTATGAGATCTTAAAATACCCTCTCAGGCATCGGAGGCACCCATTGTACTGCGGTTGGCATGGAGACCTCCACCACAGACAAGGCTCTCAGGCCATCTCTGTCCAGCCCTTCAGCAATCTCTAAACTGGCCTTAAACAGCCAATTTCCTCCAATGCAAAACAAAACCTTGTCAGGAAGCCCATTGTCACGGAACCATCTCTCACACAGCTGCTCTGCAAAGCGAGCACCGGAGGACCTGATCACAGCACTCACATCCTTGCATCACATCCTCCTGTTTTGAAAGGAAATGGCAGAACACTCAACGAGCTGCAGCAGGAGCTGGAGAAAGGCTCAGCCGTCGGGCTGACTCAGCCAGGTTCTGCAGGTGAAAATATATGAAAGCAACTACCTATGACATTACATATATTGGCTTAAGAGCAAGTATTCAATCAAAATCTGAGTCAGAGGGAGTAAGACAAAGCATGTGATTATCCAGAAAACTAAATTCTGCAAAATACTAAGGTCACACTGAACACTTGCATTTCACAAACAATGAGAAGACCCGAGAGGCAATTCAAGTGTGACAGACTAATGCCTAGAAGACTAAATCTCTTCATCTTCATCAGCTTTAATGCCATTCTCTTTGAACAGGACGTAGGGGCATAATAAGCTTTTTTCAGGAGGCTGTAAATTGTCATGTACGAGCGGCCGTCATTCCCTCCCACTGCGTCTCCTGTCACTGGCAGCCATCTTTCTCTAAGTGACTAATGGCCATTTAGTTTAATACCACAATCTGATCCAGACGCCTTACATTCATATCTTTCGGTGTAAGAAAAAAAAGAAAATATTAGCTCATATTTTAAAGATAGAACAATAAAGTTTAAACTTTTAAATCAATTAAATCATAAAAAATGTATCTGCAACTTTAAATTATTTATTTTCAGGCATTAAAAAAGCTACATCCAGCTTCTCCAGACGCTGTTGTTTTATATTATTGTTGTCAGTCAGACAAAATATGTACAAAGAAGATATCAGGAATTTGTGATGTGTATTTTATAGCATAACATTCTATCAACAAAACAAAAAATGGATCACTCCAAAAAAAGCAATCACACTTTGCGACAACATTTTTAGCCATAGAAAGCAGCGTCTGTTGATCGATTGGTCCACCACTTTAGTCCAGACTGAAATATCTCAACAACTTAGGTGATCCTATGACCTTTCCTCCTCCGCCACAGTGAGGTCCTGTTCGTGGTTGTGAATGGAATTTCTTGCCTAATGGATTAATGACATTGGTAGAAACATTCATGTTCCCTCAGGATAAATTATAAAAGCTTTTCATCTAGTGCCAGCATTTGTTCAAAAAACATTTATTCAATATCCCGACTTGACCAAATACCTGTAAAACTGACATCTCTCCCATCAGCCTCAGCTGCCATTTGTTTAGTGCTAATACAAACACACACTTGTTAACTCACAGACGACAGAGAAAATAGTAAATATTATACCTGCTCATTAGCAGGTTAGCATCGTCACTATAAACACTTGAGCATGCACTGAGCTCAAAGTGTCATCATCCTCAAAATACACCCATTATGCAATGAAATGTTTCGTAGTATTTGATTTTTGTTAGCTTATGCTGGTACGCAGAGTCCTTGCCCTGAACCTTGCATGTGGTAACCGAGTATCAGTGCCATAAACTAGCCCCATGCTCCTTTACGTCTTAAATCTTCCTCTCTGCTGTGTTGTAGTTTATATTGTCAAGCCAGGCATAGAGCTGCATGGAATTGCATTTTTATGAATAGGACTGAAGCACCGTACACGGCAATCAAGAGAGAGTGCATTCATATTTCACCCTGACAGCATGAGTATGGTGCAGCACTCTTCCAAACCCCCCCCTCTCACACACACACACACACACACACACAGCTGAACACTCATAAACTATATTCCAGCCATAAACTGTACCATCATGGTACTGGGGCAAATAAACACATCTCCCCCATCTCACTGAATAAAGAAAAAGCCAGCTCGGGGATCAAATCCAACATACAAATTGCATTTTATTCATAACTTCATCCATCAACATGATAACCCCATGTCTGATGTGAGGATCCAGCCCATGAGACATCACTGCTCTTTGAATCCACTTCTAAAACTAGGAGCACGTTTCTGTTATGCACCGTCTGTCGGGAGGACTTGATAGCTCATTAAGCTAAGGGAGTGTGACGGATGGGGGGTCTGGACAAAAGAGATGAGACCTTGAAAGGTAGCTGTTCATGGCAACGCATTCACAGTCGGTGATAATGAGATGCTGTGGTCTTTTTCTCTATTGTACTGGGCCATGATCCAGAAACAAATAGCCGGATTATTATTCATATTATTTTGTTAGGTGGAATCTTTTAATATTTAGCAATTTATATGTCTCAAATGTTATTTGGAAAGGTCTATCACTAGCAAAACAAAAAACACCTTCACAGAAGAGAGACTTGTCATTTACACATTCGCTTTGAAAACATCCTGAGGTGAATTTTCCAGTTTCCAAAATAATATTACTTTGCATATGGGAATTAAGACTTTGCTTTCTTTTAAATGGCCACTTTCAATTTACATTTCTACATATGTATTTAAGTTGTGAGGCCTGGTGATTGAAATTGTATGTTTATCATTTTTTTGTTGTATGAAAGTGTTTTTCTACTTGTTGTGATTGTCCATTTTAAATATACTACTGCCAGAGTAGCATGATTAAGGAACAGCTGATCATCTCAGGAAAAATCGGAATAATTCGTTCAATATAAACAGTCCTTTTAAAACATTAAACATTCAATGCATATATAAAAATCTCTGAATAACTACACTTGCACCATTTGCTTCCTTTTTCCAAGGTGAGCTGCATAAAATGGATTTACACAGTAGAGGTTAAAAAAAATTTAAGGTATTACATGACTCACATAACCTCCCTGCACTGCTCCCAAAATAGATACAGACCTTGCAGCAACTAGCAAGATGACGCTGGCTGCGGCCACCTGGTAGCAGCTTCCTGACCTGTGGAGTAAAGGCAGCAACTTAAAATCAGATTTATGTTAAGTATTAACCTTCCACCAAACATGAACACTGAAACTCCTGTTTCAGCATCTGGCAGGTCCCCACTGTGCTGTAAGTGGAGAAGGCAATCAGCAAATGTAATCTGGAAAACTTTATTATAGCTGCAGTGGCAGGGACATCTATTAGGCTATGTTAAAAAAAGGGGGGGGAATAAAAAGCCTACAAGGAGTCAGGCCCATGTTAAATCACAAATGTGAAAGCTCTGTTTCTATAGAGGATACAAATCTAACAAATGGAAACAGTCTAATATTGAGCTGGAAGAAAGTAAGTACACTGTTTCCACCCATTTAATGCCTGTCCTATCCTTTTATATGCACATCTTGCAGAGATTGGTCTAAAGGGGGACAACATAAGCAAAAACAATATAAACTACACAAAATGAAAAACTGTACTTTTATTGTCAATTACAGCAATGTTTTACTCGAGGTCATTCAGGATTTTGTGTTTGTTCGTCCTTACATACATCAGCTAACCTTGATGTTGAAAGGCAAAACAATACAATTTCTCAAGGAAATATAAATTAGCTTCAGATCATATTCTTCAATTTACTGTCCCATAATATGCACCAAGCATTTAAGCACTGCCTGTGTGTCTGCGATTTCTGTGGTACAACTTGTCAAGAAGAAAACAAATGGAGCTAGCACTGGAGGGGCTTTAAACTAAAATAAGAAGCTTACGTTGATGGGGCCTTAATGACATTTTCATTGCGGTCAGCCTTACCAAATACATCGACTCAGTGGAACAAAGATGACCTTATTCTCAGAAGAAGAAAAATCACTCCGTTACATCGCTATTGCATGGCTCTTTTAAGACAACCTATGCATGAAGCAACGTTTTCACATGTCCACTTACAATGGACAAAACAAACAAAATAACCCCCCCTCCCTTCTAGGATTTGAGTCATTATAAAAGCTGGTTCATGTGTCATTTTTAATGTATCAAACTGCTGAACAGAGACAACCAATTTTAAGATCTGCTGAAAATTTTGAAGACTCTTATAAAGTGCTGTAAGAACACTGGGCTTTGAGTGATATTAAGAAATTCTTTTCAAGACATTTTATGGAGAATACAACAATTTCCATCATTTTACAAGAGGAATTACCTGCTAACGTAAGATAAACAGAAAAGAGAGAGAGAGAGAAAGTTAAGTTAGAAACTAAACGTATTTGAGATTTAGACTAAAGGAATAGCTGTCAGGCCACACATCCAACCATAACCATACACACCACGCACATATACAGTGTTCCTGAGGACCAATTGCTGCAGTAAATAACTGCCATTTTCATTTTTGTTTCCCAAACAAAAATAATCCAATAAAATACATTCTATAATATAATGGCTACAGAAATTTAAATCAAACATACATAA